TCTTACAAGGGCATGTGGTCTCTGGCTGCTCCCTGCTAGCACCTGAGAGCCCTCTCCCAGACAGTGGCTGGCAAACTCTCCTGAATGTTGGTTGAATGTTAATCCTTGTTAACAGTATTGCCTTGACATCCCTGGAAACAAAGCATTTCTGAAGAGTTGTGCTTCCCCTCTGTGTTCTGCTGGTGTACTTTGACCCCAAGATGAAATGATCACTTCCAGGAATAAGAAAGTTTAGTTTCCATTTGTGCTTGGCCCTTCTGCTTACACCAGCCATCTGGGTAGTTGCCATGTCAGGGGAGATACATAGAGGCCAGGACACAGATTGAGACCTCAGATGGCTGAAGAGCACTGGCCATAAAGCACAGTATTTATTACTTGATAAGTGCCTAGACCAGTGAAGAACCCCTAGAGAAGGGCTGAGCACTTTTATTTTCCTCTGCTTGCCACAGCTTATAGGGCTGACTGTGGCTATGGTCCATCCTGATGTGGTCACTGGTAGGTTAACAGGTCTTCCCTTCAGAGCAGGGACCTGTAACCGATTGACCTCTTATTCAAAAGACTAAATCGGACTCGATTTTGAGACTTTAGAAGAGTCCTCAGTTTTCTTAATTCCCACATGAATTGCTTTGCCTAGTTTTAAATAAGCAACAACAAAAATACAGTATCTCATTTCAGATCTCCATCTAAGGATCTATTGTTTCTTTAAAGCCATTGAAGCTATTGTTATTTAAAGAGAACTTGATTGCTTCTTTTAAAAAATCAAGATAATGATAAGGTAAACATTTTTTAACCTAAATATCCCATTACCTAAACTGTAAGGCATAATAAGTAATGATTTCTTCATCACCCTACAATCCTTACCTAGCCACAGTGTAATAAAACAAAAAAAGTTAATGGCAGCCTTTCCTTTGAATTCACTTGCAAAGGACCACCATTTTAGACTATAAGATTTTTCTCTTTGAGTCACAGTGTAGTACTACATACTTGCTTAGTTTTCATGACTGCTTTACTCTCCTTTCACTAAATGTTAATTTGCATAAGATACTTGTGGCTTTAAAGAGACAGCACTGACTCTCTGTGTCTACCAATCTAATTTCCTTGCATCTGAAGGTAATCACAGAGTTCTGGACAACATCATCAACAGCATGTTTTGACAGGGAATACATTCATTTCTAAGTGAATACACAAAAATTAGAGACATTAGTCATATTTTGTTATGTTCACACAAGTGACACTTAAAGATATAGTGCAAACACATTATTGTTCAGATCGTGTACATTTTTAACTTTCCTGAGGAAAGCATACCTTAATTAGCCAGCTGTAATCCAAATTATAGTTTCTCATTTATTAAAACTGTAAAAATACCTTAAATCAGCTGCATATGTCTGAAATAATAACAAAAATAACAGCATTAGCAAAAATTATCTAATGTGAGAAAGCTGTAAATAGATAGGAGGTGAATTGGACAGTCAGCGGATTCTGAGTTGGAATAAAAACATCTTACTTAAGCCAAAAACATGGCAACCAATATTTTCTGTTATAAAAATATTTGAGATTAATTTAGTTTTATGAAAGCTGTCAAAAGCTGAAATTAATAGCAGAAGTTCTCTGTTTATTTACAAGCCAATGCTATACCTGAAGAGTAAAGCGAGGCACCTTACGAGCAGTGACAGCAAACCTTTGATTGTATTCAAAAACCCTTTATTCTGGTGGATAAGAATGACCTGTATGTTCATGTTGTCTCAGAGTAACCTCTGCCTTGATAATGCTTGCCATTTGAGCAAATGGTATGACAGGTCTGTGAGGTGGATTACTACTGTCCACTAGAGGCTGTAATGAGACCAACAATGTCATTTTATGACAGATTGAAGATCTGAACTGTAATGATCAATAATTGTGACTTTTCACACTCAATACAACGTCAATCACTGCATTTCCCTGAATGCTAGTGTTTAAAAAAAATCCAACTTATTATGCCTTCTATTCTTCCATTTTTTATAAGTACTATTAATTGTATCAAACATGCTGTGTAGATGGCACATTACAACTAGTGAATTGAAAAACAGTTTCTTCTAGACAGTATGCATCTTGCATGCCAAATTGTTTAGTATCTTTCGGTCAGATTATATTCTCCTGGGAGTCCTATCAGTTTCAGCACATCACCAGCAGTAAATGAAAACGCTTGGGTCTATGTGAGTTCTTGTGTCCCACTCATTTGCCTTCATCAGCACCTTGATGTTTTGTGGAATCCTTTGTGCAGGGAATATATTGAGGCTGAGCATAGGGCAGGGTGGCTGCTGAGGCACAAGGACATCTTGTGACATGGTTGCATATCCTGTGTGTTAGGCCATGTTCGTAGAGGCATAGTCCCCTCATCCCTCGTCTGTTAGTGCAATCAACATGTATCAAGTCAGAACAGAGGTGAGAGTGGCTTATGAACCTGACGTGGCTGGTGGCAGTTGTGGCACTTCCCAGAGCCATGGGTTAAGTGCCTGCTGGCTAAGGAAAGCACTATTGCTTTAACTTACAGTGCACTTACATGGTGGGGGTCTCTTTTCTACTTTGAAGCAGAAACATAGACAAAGATGTAAAAGCCTAGAGTATACAGTGTGGCAAAAAATGAGGGTCCTGAGGCAAACACTATAGCCACAGAGCGGAGGAACACACAAGCCTCTTACATGAGCCTGCTGCAGAAGGGAAAGTTGCCCAAAGCTTGCTTCAGCATGAATGTGGCTTCTCTTTCTCTGTGTGTGCCACACCTCTTGGCAAGGTGAATGTTTGAGAAGGAAAGATTCCTTTCTCCTGAGGTAACACTCTGTACTACTGGAATAAAAAAGGTGGCAGACAGAATGCCTTGTACTCTGAATTGAACCTTGATGATGGGTTTTCAGTTTCTCCAGGGCTTTCACTTGATTTTCAGTAATCTCCAGTCTTTGTCTCTTTCCCTTGGTTCCTTTTATTAAATCAATGAACCTTACATTAGCTGGGTGAATACAATTTTGCTGTCTGCTTTGCTGCTTTAGATTCACTCTCTTGTAGGTACTGAGTGGCATATTTGTCAAGATATCTTGGCCTGTTGCTGCTTCTGTCTCAGATCACTGCTAGAACAGAAAATCGTGTTGATTTTCATAGTGAACCCAAACTAAAGATACAGGAGACGCTGTGGTAAAAGATCCTTATGTTTCCTAAAGCTAGCCTGTATTACAGTATCAACTCTTAAATCCAGAATGCCGCAGCTTACAATGTTATTAGTACGTTCTTTAGCAATTACAGTAAGCCAGTACAGTCCTTTATAGAAGGGACTCCTTTGCTGATCTGCATAATGGCAAGCTGAGTCCTAGGGTATTTTGCATCTAGACTCTTAATGCTAGATTTAATTTGCAGCTAAAACCTAATGCTAATATAAAAGGGACACATAGGAGGTATAATTGAAGGGAATCTGGTACCTTGGAGCTTATTGTCATGGCAAATTGGTACAAGCTGCAATAAACAGCTTGATCTGGATGGCCATGTTACATAGAGTGCACGTCTCAGGCCTTTCTGAGGCCTGGGACCCCACAGCGTCCTGCTCCTTGGAGCTGGCATGTAACAGCCTTTGGTATTTATGCAACATTCTCTTGCAACGTCCTTGGTGTGGGGAGGGGCCTCTGTACTCTAACTTCTCTTCCTGATGCCAAAGCAGAGAGTGAATGGCTTCTTATGGGCTGCTGTTGGGTTGCATGCAAGCATAGCATCCCACCCTTTGCCTGCATTCATCCTATTAATTGCTTTCATAATTTGTTTTATTTCTTTAAGTTGTACCTAGCTTAGTAAGTTGATTTTTGGGGGTGTGGGGGGGTTGCTTAATTTTTTTTTAATATGAAGATCAGACTGAGACAGTCCAGAAGGAAGATATTTTCTGTTTTGCATCTCTGCCTGTTGCTTGCCCATCACTGTAGTTTGCAGACACCTGTGCTGAGGGAAGTAAGAGAGTAACACACTGATGTTGGAGTGCCAGTGGAGTGTAAGTTGCCATAGTTGGTGGGGGGGGATGCGGGGAAGTTCAGGAGTGGCTTCCGGTGGTCTGCAGACAGCTGGGAGAGATGCAAAGGGATCTTTGATGAAACCAGTGCTGAGGAATCCAGAGGGAGTTAGTACCCAAACATGCGTGGTTCAGCCCTGCCTGTCTTGTAGTTCAGTGATGGTATGAGTCAGAGTCTCTTTGGTCTGAATGAAGTGGAAGGTACTTTCTACAAAGCAACTCAAGCATATGCCAAGGATCCGGATAAATAAAACTAATTCAGAAAAAGGGAGTGGGATGCAGGCTCTTGCTCTAAATCACTTCACAGTTCGCCACAACAAAATGCAATATGGCATCTTAAATAAAATCACCCTCTTTTGACTCTCGCAGAGGCTGCTTCAGAGCATTCCCTGGTTTCCAGCAGTTTTATTTCCTCCCTTAGAGAGACAGACGAGCCTTGACTGAGCAACCGATTTTCATGCATCCTTTAAACCAGCATTCCCTGCCTTTTCTGAAGGACAGCACACGTCGCTAGCTGTCTGTTTCTTCCCCCTTAAACAATATAGGTTCGGGGTTGGATTGTTTTTTTTTTTCTTTTTCCCCTCCCCATCTCATTTCTTTCCGCCTGCAAAGTGATTTGAGAGCCCCGCGACGCAGCCTGCTACAGGAGCGGGGACTTCTCTGGAACACTGGCGTGCGCAGGGATTAAGCCCACCGTAGAGAGCCAGCCTGGCCTTCGAAGTGTTACAAGGGGAGGGAGGAGGTAAGTGTCGAGGCGAGCCCCCAGCCCCCCTGCTCGTCCCCGGGCAGCGTGCGGCGGCCCGCAAAGGGTTAAAGGCCGCCTTGGCCCGGCGGTGCCGTGCGTATGCAATAATCTGTGTGGCTCTCTTGGCCGACTGCCAGAGTGTTGCCTTGCCTCCTCCTCCTCCCTTCTCTCCCCCCCCTTCCCTCCCCCCCCCGCCCCCCCCCCCCCGCCTTTTGCATGAAGTAGGATCCTTGAGCTGTTGCAGAGGCAGCCAACTGCTCCATATTTGGCTTCTATTACCCATTTACATGCTGGAGAGCGGAGAGGGAGCGAGCGCTGTACCGCAGACATCATTTCTACTACAGTGGTGGAGACATCCCGGACCTGTGTCACTGCAGGGGGAAGGAAAAAAGCCAAACAAACAAAAAGCAGACCCAAGCCCCGTGATCAGCTAGGAAGACATTTGTGTGCGAGTCTCTCTCTGACCCCCCCACCCCCGCCAACCCCACCTCCACTGACACTTTACAGTAAGTGGCTTTTTTTTCCTCCTCTGCTTTCTGCTTCCCCCCCACCCGCCTGCGGCTTCTTCCCTTGTTTAGACTGCAAACCGCCGGCGATTTCCAGCTGGAAAAACACGGGGCTGAGGGGTCAGGGGAGCGCGCTGCCCACCCCGCCGCGGGGCTGCAGCCCGCCTCGCTGCGGCCGCCCCCGGCCCGCCACGGCCCGGCCCGGCCCGGCCCGGCCCGCAGGCGCTGCCGCCGCGGGCCTGGCTCTGAGGGGAGAGGGAGGGAGAGGGGGGCGGCCGCGAAATGGCCGAGGACGCCGCGCAGAAAACGGAGTGGGGATGCGGGACACGGGAGGAAGCGGGGGGCCGGGGCGGCCCCGCGGCGAGAGCCGCTCGTACAGCCCTGCCCCCCCGCCCGGCTCCGCTCCGCTCCGCTCCTTCCTCCTTCTTCACACCCCCCCCCCCCCCCCCCCCCCCCCCTTTTCTCTCCCTCCCGCTTCCCCCCGGCCCGGGCGGGGTGTGGGTGGCCGCGGGGACGGTGGACATTTTGCGAGTCGCGGCTGCCCCCGGTGCGGCAGCGGCGGCGGCCTCGGGGTGTGTGAGACTGCGCGTGTGCTCGTGTGTGCGGGGGGGCGGCGTGCGGTGCCGGTGTGTGCGGTGCCGGTGTGTGTATGTGTGTGTGCAGTGTGTGTATATGTGTGTGCGTGCGGTGTATGTGTGCGAGCGTGGGGGCTCTGGTGTGTCTGTGTGCGTGCGTGTGTGTGCGGTGCCGGTGCGTGTGTGTGTGCGGGGGGTGCGGTGCCGGCTGTGTGTGTGGGTTGCCGTGCCGTGCCGTGTGTGTGTGTGTGTGTGCGGGCGGGGGATGCGGTGCCGGTGCGGTGCCCTGTGTGTGTGTGCGTGCGCGGCCGGCACGGCGCGGTGCGGGGGGGCCGTGCGGGGCTCGTACGCCAGGCGGACCCGGCGGGGCGCAGCGCGGGGCCGGTCGCCGGCAGGGCCGGTCGCTGCCACCGCACGGCGTATGTAGTACGGGGCTGGGCGGCTGCCGGAGGGTGAATGAAGCGAGGAGGAGGCGGAGGAGGCGGCGGAGGCGGCGGCGGCGGCGGCGGCGGCGGCGGCGGGGGAGGCGGCGCTGGCGCTGGGATGTGCCCGGCAGCAGCCCCGCTTCACTTCACTCAGGGCCCAGGCCGGCTGCAGACGCCACCCGGTACTGCCGGGAGGGACGGGGCGGGAGGGATGGGGGAAGGGGGGCGGCGGGGCGCCGCCGCCCCGCTGCCCGCCCGCAGCTGTGGGGTCCGGCCGGCGGCTTCCCGAGGGGAAGCGGGGCAGGGGTTCCCCGCCGCCGCCCCGGGGCTCCGCTCGCCTCCGGTGGCGACCGCTGCCCTCCTGCCGCTCACCGATCCCCCGCTGCCTCTGGGTTTGCTTGGGTCGGGTGGGGGTGGTTGGGTTGCGGGGCTTTGGGGTTGGTTGGTTGTCGTTTGGGTTTTGGTTATTTGTTAGGGTTTTTTTTTTTGTTGTTCGTGTATTTTTTTTGTTTTGGTTTTTTTTTTAACCCTAAGGCATCGCAATTTACCGGCAAAAAAACAAATAAATTGACCCCGTGTACGATTGTGGGTGCTGAATCCGTCAGTGTGATTCCTGAGAATATATTAAAGTCTAAATTAAAGCGTGCTGTAAAAGCGTTAGCTCCTACTGTAATAGTAATAGCGATAATAATAAAATGACAGAATTGGGAGCGATTTACATGTTATTGAAGAGGAGGAATTACTGAAGAGTAATAATAGAAAAGAAAACAAGTCGGAAGCCCGTTATATAATGCACTGTGTAGACAACGAGAACGACAGGCTATTTTTATTTTGTTTACCGTATGCTGTGTAATAGGGACTCCTCTGAGCAGCATCTCTCCCCTATAAGCCCGAACTCCAGATAGAATTGGGGAAAAATTTTAGGCATTTCTTCTACAACCAGACGAAGAAATCTAGGTTTGTAAAACCTTCCTCTTTACAAATGATTTCTGTGTACAGAACGGATAGGGTATGCAGGTAAATGACCTTTGCCGAATACCTTTTCCCTTTCATATGGTAAAGAAATTCATATTTTGTAAAGCAGCTTACACTTTAACCTTTAACGCTCATGGTTATGCATTTTATGCAGTAATGGTTACTTCACGCGTCAGATACGGTCGGGCATAGTGAGTTACTCTGCTGACACACTGATAAGTCAAGGACTTTTAATTTCAGTTTCGAATGAAACCGTCCCCTGAAGGAAAATCCCGGCTTCATGTTAATCTATTTCTGTTCGAATGATAGAGACGGTGCAGTTTTATCATATGGAGCAAGGGTTATGAATGGGGGAGAGGGAAATTGAGAATGGCCAGGGAAAATAATGCGCCGTAGTTATTTTTGTGATGCTGCAGGATAATAGTAGTAATTGTACGTTACTGCACCTAATTTGTTCGTATAACCGGCCCGGCATTTTACGGATAGCAGCTGTTTTGAAAGGGTGGCTGTAATCTCCTCACTTTTTACATAAGGCAGAGGTCGATAGGTTTTCCTCCGTGCTCGGCTGTCTGTCTGTCTCTCTCATCGTGTAGCGACATGTCAGCGGTGCAGGCTTTCAGCGCGCTTACTCCAGCCCTGATCAGTCATGTAATTAGATCAGGCTGCCATGGTAACAGACGGGATTCTCCGTATTCACCGGCCAGCCAGGTGCGTGTGTGGCTGCCGGGCGACCCAGCGGGCTACCGCCAGCCCTGCGTGTGCCGCCTTGGTGGCGTGCGGCCGGCGCGGCCACCGCCTCGGGCTTTCTGAAAATTGAAAGATGCCGGTGGTGGGTTCCTAATGGCCGAACTTCTAGGGAAGGGTGTTCTTTGCCCACTGGAGTGTCAGGCAGATGGGACCGTACGTGGCACGCTCAGCAGGTCAGCCAAATCGTCAGTTCCACTTGCATGTGTTACTAGCAAATTAATGAAGGTGTGGTACTTCGTAAAAATGCTTTTGGCTTATACAAGCTCGCATGAAAGTTTTTTCAGAGTTTTCTTTTTTTTTTTCTTCCTTCTCTCCCCCCCCACCCCCCCCACCCCCATCCCCATCTGTCTGGTTTAACTGTTTGGTGGCTGTAGCAGTGTTTGCTAACACTGCTAACAGTTCCCATTCCAACATTCTCATCATAGGCCACAGGGTTGTTATTCTCCACTCCTGTACTGTACTTTACACCCTGTGGCTGCTGAGATGAAAATTGGTGATACTTGATGTCAGTATTGTCACTCTGGGTTTGTTGAAGACTCCTCATCGTTCTTAGCAAGGTCTAGGCCCTTCTGTGTGCTAGGTGAAAGCTGACTGCAGTTTCTCATGATAAAAATAATTCTTGCCTCAGCAAAGACTTTGTTTCTAGTATGGGTGTATATTTTGCATTTGTGCTCATCAAAATATTATAGCCATAGAGCAGGAGACTTTCTGACACAGTTTATAACAGCGTCAAAGAATATGTAATATAATTAGCTTTGAACTGCATGTTGCTCTTAAAAACATGTTTCACCAAGCAGTGTATATTTGTCTTCATTCTCATTGTTTGAACATAACTCTTTTAAGCCATTTTGCCATAAATGTAGGTATAATTTTTTAAAAGCACTAAATTTGGCACTGTGTTCTAATGTCATAAATCTGGAGTAACTCCAGGGGATGGGATTGTGAGCCACTTACATGGGTGTATATCTCAAATAACTCCATTTATTGGATTTAATCCAGGCATGTAGTAGAGTAACCAAGCTCAGAAAGTGATCTGCTGCATATCACTGTTATTTTCTCTATATTGCTTTTCATGGCAAAAAGCACTGTGGGCTTAAATAGGATTTTTGCCTGATTAAGGAGCAGCATTAAGTGTCTATAGAAGTGGGTAACACCCCTACTCCTGTCACTAATCTTGGGTGCACTGACACTAATATTGAACTTGGCCTGGAGGATTTTGTGTCTCAGTGATGAGAAATCATCAGCACCCACAGCTCCTGAGTGTTTGTAGTACCAGGCTGGAACATAAAGCAATCCAGAAATATCTCAGTAAAACAGATATTTTAATCACTCTGATGGTAAAGCACTGGAGCTGGAGGAGGAGGCAATGAGAAATGCCTGTTGGTGGTTCAGCTGTTGTGGCGGCAGGCAGTGGCGGTCTTGGGTTTGGTGTGATGAGTTTGCAGGTCTCAGCCTGCCTGCTGAGCAGGAGTGTTTCTTCTTGGAGGGGTGAGGGGACAGGGTATTTGCAGGCAATTTCCTGCACTGAAGTGCAGCTTCTCAGTGCCTCAACTAACTTGCCCTTTTGGTTAGGAAGGAATATCCTCTGCTCGGTGCGGCCGCCTCCGTTCTGAGGAGGTGTCTTGAAACAGAAGAGCTTGTTAGGAGGACTGGCTGGAGAGAGTGGAATAGTCATGAGCAAGATAACTCCTGTAGTGTGAGCCTTTGTGTGCTGCATGCTGCTTATACATATTTTATTGTAAGACAAATTACCTGTGTGACTAAGAGTGTTAGAAAGTAATTATTTTCAAAAAGGCAATATATACATAGTTGAAAAAACTTTTCTGAAAAATAAACAGTGCAACTTTGCTTTTCTAGCCTGACTGGATCTATTTAGAAAGGTTGAAAAAACTAGTTTTGTTTTAAAAGACATTTGCAAGGGACGTGGAATTTCACTTAACAATTTTTTTTATGTAATAGATCCAGTGGCCTAGTTTCCCATTAATTAAGAAAATAGACACTTGAATGCAGTCACCTGAAAAACAACTAAAGATTTAAACATTAGAATTTTAAAGTAATTGTCTTGGTAACATGTCTAGTAAAACAAAATCAAGGCCTAATTTTTCCCCTTGCTGAGGTTTAGCAGCGCATCTTAGCAGATGACAGTCAGGATTGTCATTGTTCATATGCACACTGCTTTTGTTGTGGTGTACTAATTGAGGGGGAAATGCAATGAAAAAAGTGTGGCAGGCTGTAAAGGAAGTGCTTGTCAGGGTTGCATAGATGGTCTTGAAGCACTGGCTGGCTGCAAACCTACTCCAGCGTGCGAGCCAGCTGCCGGTGGTGATGCTTGAGAGAAGTCAGACTGTGTGACAGCCTCAGCTATAACCACACAGGTTGTGAGTGATTTGCTTGTTCTGGAGAACTGTGCAGGTATGGTGTGTACAATTCAGAGAGTGCAGATAACAGATTTAGTTATAGGTCTCTTCTGAGACTGCTGTAACCAACTCTGCATTAACAGATGACGATATAATTAGAACAAGAAAGAGAAGTATGGCAGGCTTGGCACAGGTAAATATTTCATTGCAAAGTACTGACTTGCTATATTCCAGTGACTTCGATAGCCTAAGCTTTGCAAAGTGAAAATCCCGTCCTCATCCTTTCATTTTACTTTCAAGCAAGACTCCAAATGTGATAAATAAATAAACAGGTATTCGGTCAAAGGCACTGTATTTTGAAGTCTTATTCAGTGGTTCACATTCTTTATATGAGAAAATTGAAGATTTTTACATGGTTTTGGCTGAGGTGATGCATGACTAACATTTTAAAATGTAAGAAACTTTGCAGATTCCTGATTTTTGCAAAAAGACAAAAGCTAGATCCATGACCGTAACTCCTTTTTGATCTCAGTGCATGTGTTGAGAATGTAATGCTTCATGGCTTTTTTTTTCTTTCAAAGCTGTAGTCTGAAGTGGTTGTACAACACATGCAAATCTTTATGTGTGCATTGGTCCCAGTCTGCAAAGTTACTTTAGTAGATGTCCCAGTGAGGGTTTTGCTGAATGAGGATTGATTAAAGAACCTATCTAGAGTTAAGTATGCGTGTAAATCCTTTCCTAAATAGGAACAAGTAAGTATGCTCATAAACTGAAACAACAGAAATGATTCTCAGTGAGGGAGAAATGGTCCCACTAAATCCTTTTATTGTACCAGGGGTGATAAAAATATTTGGTGAGATTCCAAATGAAAACCCCAAATGTATTTTAGTAGGTGATGTCAGCAGAAGTTCAGTGCTGGTTCTTCATGATTTTGCTGAGCAAAATCACAGAAAAAAAATGAAAAAAACTACATTGTTAAAGTTTTTTTTTTGTTTATTTTTTTTGGAATTTACAGTAATAGGCATCAACTGTAGCATGCCACCTTTAATGACAAAATAGGGTACAAGGTAAAGTCACATTTCAATAGGTGATTATTTTTCACCTAGTAGTAGTAATTGCAGCACTACGTTTTCAGGATGCTACTGCTTCTCAAATAAAATATATTCTGTTGGCAGTGAAGACAGTCATCTCCACTTGCTTATGATTCTTCACCTCATTAAGATCACATTTAGGAAAAGAGCACTCTGAATAAATGGGCTCTGCTCTCTACTGGATGAGCTCTGTCTGCAGAATTAAATCTATGGTTTATTTGTGCTTGAGTAATAGTAAAAGCAGCCTCTCTCAGTCTTCATTGGGATATCTTAGTGTGTTGTAAATGACTGTAAATGTTGACTCTTAACTGTGTTTTTGTTTCTCTTTATTTTGGTTTCCATCTCCTCAACTCCTGGATCAACAGTCACATTGCAGGCCAAGCCAGATGGGCAAGCAATACAAGCTGTGAATTTATTCTTGACCCCGTAGGACAGTGACCACCATCAGTTTTTTCTTCACCCTACAGTTATGCACTGCCAATAAGGTGAGAATACAATGCTTTTTTTTTTTTTTTCCCTTCAGCAAGTGTACACTGTCTGCTCTGGGCTTTAGGCAAAGTGCACATCTTCCTGGTGTCTGTGTGATTACCTACCTGTGATAGGTTTGTACTTCCCTTGCCTGGCAGTAGAGGTCCTTGAGAAACTCTGCTCAGAAAAATTCCTTTAACTCTGGTGACTCAGTTCTGTGACTTACAGAACAGGTGGGTTCCAGATGGGTGGTTTTATGCTCACCTGAGGTCAGAGTGTATTCAGTTACTGGAAGATGTTAGTATGAATGGAAAAGTTGGCAGACTTTGATTCTTGTTATAAAATGCCATGTGTAAAATTGAATAAATCCTTCCTTCACTTTTATGATCATTTTCAGGATTCCTGTTGCTTGTCGCCTGCTTGGCTTTTCCACTGTCTTGAGTTTCTTCTGTGCATTAAACTTTGTCCAGCATTAGAATAGTTCCCAGAATAATTGTATCTTTTGCTCTATTTTGAGGAATGCTTTCAGTTCTTCTGATTTCCCTCCCTGAAATTCTGTTGCCAGACAAGATGTAAAAGTGCACATGTATCAGTCTGCTGCTGTCCCTTTCCTCTCTCTCTCCTTACCATATGGTTGTGGAAAATAACTTGAAAAGACCAAGTCCCAAGACTCAACAATCATACTGCCAATAAAAAGAACATAAATTTTTATTTTATTTCTTTAATCTGATTGTCATTAGGCCAGCCTGGTTTTTTGGACCTATTCTGTGATTTTTAAGTGCTTGGGATTGGCAATGCTGCTAATGCTTTAAGAAAAAAAAGATAAAGGGTCATAATAAAATTGCCTGTGTCTTTAAAAGAAAATGAAATATAGTGATTGCTTGCAGAAAACCAAAGGGTTTCTTTTTTAAATTTACAATCTGAAAGCTTAATTACAATAGCACTCTTATTTATGTAGGGCTGATCAGAAAGTCTCCGTTGCAGAATAACTTCTTAATGTATACAGCATGTCATAGAAAAGTACGCAGTGCATCATTTACATTTTACTGTGGCTGTGGGGAAGGGTGCTGTGTTTTAGAGGGAAGTTGCCTAGGCAAGTAGTTACATGCAAGGACAGGCCTGTTACAATTTCCAAAGGAGCTTGAATGGTGGGAGTGAGCAGTAACCACTGTAACTTCAGAGCAATAAGAGTTTCTGCAGAGTAAAAAACTACACAAAGTGCCCATGCACTGGCACACTTTGTCTTTCCATTTTGGAAGAGAACTGAATTCGTAGCAGCTATTGACTTGGGACATTAAATAGAAAAAGTTTTTTATTACGATGTTATCAGTTACACAAAACTTTTAATTTTTTATTTTGTAAGATTAACTTGGGTTGTAGAAAAATGTGTTTATTTTAAGAAGTGATTACTGCTGGAAAAATGTGTATATCTCAATTAGAAGAAGTAGTTGTTTATAGGGCATTAGTCAAGTCCTATGAATAATCAGATTGTGTTACCCACGATGTATTGCTAAGTCACCTTGGATATTTTAGCATCTGGTATTTTCTGCAATTGCATGAGAGACAATATATTCAATGTTAAACAAACATTTTAGATTAAAAATGTAACCTAGCTAAGTCTGATAGGAGTATAGTACTAAAGTGCTTGTTTTCGTATATCAGCTCAGCTTGAAGTTTAGTATTTTATCTGTGGACCTTAGATGAGGTTAGATTTGTTTTAACTTCTTATTGTTGGACATTTTAGTTACTGAGTTGGAGGTACCTCTGTTGACCTCATTAGTTCTTATTTTTTCTATGGAACAATCAAAATAGGCCCACTGTATGACTAAATAAGTGAAATAAACGTTATTGGGATAGGCACTGCGTGCTTACAAACTTTTCTCTGTTACTGGAGGAAACAGGCAGGAGCTCACAGTAGTAACATGTAAGAGAAACATGACGTGGCACTGTGCAGGGTGCAGCCACAGACAGAGCATTTCATACTCACACTCATCATCTTTCTGGCTTTTGCATTTGTTTTGGGTGAAGGTGGCAACTGCCCTGCTCCATTTTAGGAAGACCTGGGTTATGACCCTGGAGTCTGACTGAGGGAGAACATGGGACACGTTTGAAGGCATCCAAAATGCATCTCAGAAGCCATACTTGAGGCCTGATGTCCCTGCATGTGCATTCACGGCTTCACTCGTGAGAGGATTTGTGTGGTGTCAGTGGGTAACATCTTTGTTATGTGTCAGCTGTCCAGGTGTGCTCACCTTCTAATTCAAGCAACATTTTCTGCAGAGCCAGCTAAGCATCTTGCCTGGATAAGGACATGGGTATTAGTAAAAGTAAAGCAAAAATAAATAAAAAGATACAGCTTTCTTTCTTTTTTATTTTTAGTTAATTTTAGCCGGCTCTCCAAAACATAGAGTTATTGTTATTTGTTCAGAGCATGCACTGCCTCCTTCCACGTAGGCAAATGACTCAATGCTTTCTTTTATACAGTTGTCTTGAGAGGATTTTGCATGAGGTACTGGACATTTTAACAATTAAAGAGTTCTTTTTAATCTTTTTTGTTGTCGAGTCACTTGATATTTATTAATCATAGTACTGGGATGAATTTACAGCTGCAGCCCATTTGTAAGAAATTTTTTTTGGCTGAATTTTCAGTAAGTATGCCTGTATGCTACCTAATATAGCTAATTTTTACATAAGACATAATTTCTGTTTTATGCAGACTTCTGACTACCTCTCTCTGTAAACAGGCAACAGTCTGCCCTTTTAAAATACTTAATATTGAACATAAAAAGAACAAATCTGTCTCTGTATTACTGTGTGCAGTGGTAGCTTTTTGGTTTTCATATCAGGGTCCTTTTATCATAGCTGGTTTTATTTCTTCCCTCATGCTCTTTATGAGGGCCTACAATATCTGTAGGGCTAAAAGAAGGTGGGCAATGGAGATTTCTAATGTTTTAAGTGAACAGCACAAGTGAAATGGACTTGTGAACTAGCTATAACTGGATAGTAATTAGGAATAATTTTTCTAAAATTGTTTATATGTGAGCAACTAAAAAGTAAATTAAATGAAGTGATGTGAATGCTGACAGATGTCTTAAAAATGAGGCTTTGTGGTCCCCTCACCTCAGCCATAACTTTCATGGTTTTCCCCTGTTGTTCCTACTGCAGATACTGAAGACCTGCTGTCTGACTGATAGAAAGTTTCATAACATGGTCTGACGTGTAAATGGCATGGAGTGCAGTGGTATGCCTGCATAAAAACACAAGGCTGACATTCATAATGTGACATAAGGCACTGTCTGAGGTTTGATTTGCCTTCCAACTTGGTGTTTTTAAAAGGTGTATTTGCAAATGGAATGAGATTTGCTGTCCCACACTCTGCAACTTGTTAGCATTCCTGTAAAAGTGTGGGCTTTTGCATGTTAGTGTGAGTAGATGGAGAACCTCCATGTGCTAGGGGTGAGGAGTGGTGAAGTGTCTGGATGTGCTGTGCAGTTGTGTGCAAGCCTGAGCATCTGTGTGTGCCCTCCTGCTGCCTCTCCCTTGGCTCTGTGTGTTGGCTAGGGGTGTGCTGCTGGGATTTGCCTTGCCTTGAAACCAGGGCTGTGCTTTTGAAAAAAAGTTAGCCCTTGTTACTAGGGGTATAATTTTGGTATGGATTTAGATGTGTTGGCTGAGGGGTTTCTCATGTTGAGACACTGTGATAGAGGCAAACCCTGAATTTTATAATTGCCTCTTTATTTTCTCATCAGTTACTTTTTTTGGAAGTAGCTGTAAACCTGACTTCAGGATTTATTGAGTCACTCCTTGTTCTATGAAAAGTACAAATGCCAAAGTGTTCCTCACTTGTATTGGAGTGTGGCTGTGACCGTACCACATTTTGCCTGTCAGGTACCCATGTGTGAACGCCTTTGTAGTTTTGTACAGCTAACATTTCTGTCAGGCCAGCTACTTGAAAGAAAGTCAGGCTTTAATGGAGAAGGATAATTACAAAAGCAGGCTTAATCCTCCTTTACTGTGTTTTGTGCTACTGAATATTTTCTCATTGGTGTGGCTCCTTTTCAGTGGCACGTGTAGCAGCTGACTAGAAAGTGATATTTTCAAATGTATATAATAATAAATGCATTTCTCCTCTTCCATAGCCCCTGAGCACATTTTCTGCTTGGTACTGTGCTGTATTCATAGCTTTCCCAAGGTAGTCTGATGGCAAGTAGATCCAGAATGGTTTGAAAATTCAATATATTCAAGGGAAAAAATCCTAGTAGGTTATTGCGGTAGAAGAAGTTGTAACTTTATTCTCCATGTACCACTAGCAGTTAAAAACCCATCACACTAATCATATGTACTGAATTTTTATTTACAGATTAGGAGGCTCTACTTTGACATATGACTAGCAGGGAAGCCCCTCCCTTTAACAGTTTTATGTCATCTGCTTCAGAGAACTAATTACTTGGCAATTCCCATTTGATAATTCCCTCTTTATTTTCTGATGAGTTACTTAACAGTGATGAGCTTGTTGAGCAGAATGCCGTGTTTAATCTGTGCTTCAGAAACTACAGTGTGGGCCTGGGGATATCATTGTTTCTGAAATGCTGTCTAGCCTTGCCATAGGAGCATTGAAACCACACTAAGATATGTGAACAGTTCACAGTTAATGATCAGTTGAATGTGAGTGATGTACAGCAACTGCCAAAAAATAAAGGAAGGGTTTACATTGCTGTTGCACTGAAGCAGGAAGTTTAAATATGGAATTTCTCAAAAGAACCCCAAGCACCAATCCTAATGTAATTTAGATGCTCAGAAGCAGAAGCCTATGTCAGAGATATACCTTCTATGTATCATTGATCTTCTCCACTGAAACAATCAATTTAATGGAACTTTTTAAAAAAAACCACTGTTTATTGTAATACCCATCTGACAGCTTAGCCGACTCCTGGTGGTTTTTGTGTTCTTTTAACATGAGATACTTTAGTAAGTTTTTACTGTGTTTTCTCTGCTGTTACCTGTCTTATTCATTCTT